GGGCGTTCAAATGTGTGCCTTGCCCTGTCTTTCGCATGTCTTTGGACACAGCGCAACACGTGGCCCATGTCGAGCGGCTGTCTGCACCACCGTGGACCCCCGCCCCCGCCCCCCAGCCCGAGCCCCCGCGTCCCGGCTCGACCCGCTAGTCCCTCATCGTTGGACCCCGAGTCGCACCACCTGCAGGTCAGCAGGACACCCCAGCTTCGCCGAATCGCGGCAACCTCAAACAGCCCTGACCGTTGCCTCCTGAAGCCTATTTCACAGAGGGAAATTACGTCCTACGCTGTGCTGAAACGCGCAGCGTCGGCATATATGTCGGTATATATGAATACGGCTCAAGATTTCGCCCATTAAAGATTATTCACGGACACGATGGGCAGTGAAACTGAGTAATTTACGGTCCTGACATACGTCCTCGCACAAGCTCTTAACGTGCGCAAGTTGGCAGTTTAGTTTCGTGAAGCCCGGTCCTGCTCCAGGTCGTTGACCCCTCCCCACGCACCCACTCACCGGTGTTTACCAGCCCCGGTGGGCGGACGTGACGCCGGGTACCGGTGTGCCCCGCGGGCACGGGGCACTTCGGCGCGCGGAAGGCCGCGGATCAAAACTGGGCCGGGGAGGTGGTCGGCGGAACGCAATCTAGACCAGACTAGACTAGACTAGACTAGACACCAACGGTGCACATGATTCGCTGACAGCTGACAGATGATTCACTACCGAGAGGTTGCACTGGTTTGGAAGTGTCACTGGGTCAAGAACGGTGTGCTTGCACCGCTCCATAGAGCTTCTGCTAAGATGGAGAGAGCATTTCCGCTCTTCTAGCAACTACTCTTGAAGAAGCGTCTGATGGCGTGGTCTATCGCCAACAACCAATTATGCATTGTTTAAGGAAGACGTCGTAAGTAGCATGTTTTTGTGGAATCACTTATCGTTTTTTTTTGCACAAGTTCCGTTCTCCGAAGGCAGCGCGTCTGCGTTTGGCGGTAACGATGCGTGCGAAAACAAGATGGCGCTGTGCCTGGGCGGCCGCCCCGACTCCCGGGGCAAAGGTCAGCGGACTGCGAGGAGCGTTGCCGAGAAGCGCGGAACGCAACCCACACCCGATGGGCCCCCTTAATTGAAAAGCTGGAGTCGAACACTGTTTTATGAAACGTCGTAAAACAATAGAGAGCTTCTGCAGCGTATGATTTCAACGTCACGAAGTTTGTAATGTCAATATCGTAACTGGAGGTTGGAGGAGGATAAAGGCACCGGAGGTTTGTCTGACACGGACGAGGTCACTGCTCGGACGATCATCCTCGTCTGGGGGACGGCAATGCACGCGGTGTTTCGGGCAGGTAATTCTTCAACCGTCGTCAGGTGCTATGGAGTCTTGGAAAGCACCGTATGGTGTTTCTGTTTTCAGTTATGCACGCGTCACGTTCGTAGTTTTTTCCTTGTTCTTTTCGGTTTGCCCGGTGACAAAACGCTGGTTTCGTGACCAGAAGGCCCTGTTCGAACCCAGCAGTCCTTGGAGAACATTTGGGGTGTGATGCGCACATGGCTGAAAGACAAACACTGTTCAAGCCTTCTCAGGATTCAGCGACATCTGATGAGCACCGGATAAGTAGCTGACCAAAACGTTGTTTACATACCAAAGCATCAGAACAGGACGACATCAAATTACATGATTATTGTAGTTCAATTATAAGGTATTGTTAAAGCAACAACTACAATTTATTATTACCGTTACACCATCCGCAACGGCTAAAAGCTTGGCTAGCCAATCCCGAGGCAAACCTAGCTGAGAGTTTGTTTCGTGCTTCCACGGAGACACCAAGTTATGGATAAACGGGTGAAGACTAACAAAATAAGGTGCAGGTAACGAATCAGTCAAGCCCAGGTCTTCCATGATCACATGTATGTACAAAAATTAGCTGAAACTTCACCCTTTGAAGTATAGGTTGATGGTCACCTCTTTGCTTGGTTCTACACTACTGCACGTCTCGCTGAAACGTAAAGGCAACGCGTTTGCACAGATTGGCCGGCAAGTTAAGATCTGCACTCTCGTCAATTTCTTTCGCCCTCCTCCCCGCAACCACCGCACAAATTCCAAACACTTCGGTGGTAGACTCAGGACATCTTCGGCGGCGGGCGCAGGACATCTTCAGCGGCGGGCGCAGGACATCTTCAGCGGCGGGCGCAGGACATGTTCGGCGGCGGGCGCAGGACATGTTCGGTGGCGGGCGCAGGACATGTTCGGCGGCGGGCGCAGGACATGTTCGGCGGCGGGCGCAGGACATCTTCGGCGGCGGGCGCAGGACATGTTCAGCGGCGGGAACAGGACATGTTCAGCGGCGGGCGCAGGACATGTTCAGCGGCGGGAACAGGACACCTTCGGCGGCGGGACACCCAGTCCCAGACGAGCGCACGGGAAGAGCAGCAGTGTCGTATGCTTTCAGAACAAGCTCGAAGCGGAGCGAGCTGGCGGAAGAGCCAGCATGACTCCTGTCTCATCTGTACAATTGACACCCCCTGCTGACCACTTTGATGAGCGAGATGTAGATCCCGGATTCTCTTCGTCGTTATAGAGCTGGGCCTCGAGATGCAGCACACCAACCCGTCGAGCCGGATGTGTCGCGGTATGAAGTTTTTTGAATGCATTGCGCCAATACTACATTATATGTATATATGTATATATGTATGTGTATGCACTCATATATGCATACATCGCATATTATATTATCTTATACTGTTGATTATTTTTTGGAGTTGTATTCTGAATATTCTTAGAAACATCATTACGTAATATATGTATACATATATATATATATATATATATATATATATATATATATATATATATATATATATATATATATATATCCATTGCGCCAGGCCAATTGCGCTTCCGGCCATGGCGGAAAGTGTGCCTATATGCAGAGATGCAGAATTTGTCAGCGAACAGCTGCAGACTGTCTCTGACTTAAAGGGTACCTTACAGATGAAGTGATGTTCTAAACAAATGCGCGAAAGCAAGGTGGCTGAGACCAGACGTCGACTTACTTGCGGTACAATAGGTTGCTATGTTGTGCACAGTCGCGGAACCCAGCCTCGATTGAAATGAAACCTTGATGGCTACCACTTATATCCTCCGAAAATCACGATCACCTTTGTCAACTTGTTTTGGAACACATTCATCAAATGGTGCGCGATTATATATGTACTGCTTAATGACAAATTTGATCAGGTGATAGTAACGTGCCCTCGAGCGCAAGCTTGCCACTTTTTGGTGTCTCGTTTAAATTGACTTGTTAATCAAGCTGAAGTAATCATGCCCTGCCTTGTGCCTTTTTCTATCTCTGGAATTGATAAGGTTTGAAAAGTTGCGAATCATCACGCGAATTTTTTATGCGTTTTTTTCGAGAAATAAGGCGCAAAATAAGCAAGTTCGTCATAATGAGTGTGTTCCATAAAACGTGATCAGGTAGCAAGCACAGAGTAGGTCCAACCAGGCGAAGAGTATTTGTTTACCCAAGCCGCAAACAACTCAGTTAGCCTCCACCCTAAAAAACACTAAAAATGTTTCCCTCTGCGTCACATGCTCCAGATGGGACATGTTTATCGTTACATCTTGATGTAGGAGTCAGATGGAGGACGAAAAACTACAGAAGGAGATATTAATCTCCACATTTAGCTCACAGGTTTGCTGCCGCGCCCTGGTCTTGAGCAAACCGTGCAGCCTGGATCACAGAGTGCTGTGGTCCAGCGCACATTTGTCTCTATACAGCCTAAGTCGTAGCCTTGAGGCTCGCGAGAACGATCTCAATACGGCTTGTAACAAATATTTTTAGGTTGAGTAAAGCTTTTGTTTGCGGCACTGAGCCCAATACAAAGACATTTTGCGCGGCAGGTTTCCTCACTCATATGATATCTCTTTCTCCATGCTTATACCCATGCGCCATGGGAAGCAATACCGTGTGTGGGTATAGTTCGGGTTGATTTTTATATTGTGGCAGCACTTCAGTACATGGCGTTATCGCCGAACAGGAAGGACAAAAGCCATGGAGAGGACGCCGAAAGTATTTTAGATATTCAAGGTATGCGATTGCTATAAAGCTGTCGGTTGGATTGCAAGCTTTCGGATTGTTGCAGGAAAACATGAGGAGACACTTGTTTGTAACCCGATTCTCTGAACGCCTGGTTTCCGGTCACAGTCTATTACCAAGATGCTGCAAAAAAGTAAGCGCGATTGGTGCTCCAACGAAAAGGACAACACGACCACAGGTGCTAACCAATGGCAAAGAGGCAAGACATGTATTTGATGTCACTTCACCGGTACTGACCATGGCTCTGATTGGCGACGAATGTGTTTCTTTTAGGGTCTGGTCTCTAGTTGTAACTGTGGCATTACTTTTTGTCGTAATGCAAAGCCTATGTCTATGTTATTGAGAGCGGGTCAACAAAAAAGATCGGACATTTTTTCCGATCATCTCTTACCTCTGTGGCGGGAGCTCCTTTTAAGACCTCATGTCAGATGTCTGTCTTCTGTTTTTCTTCTTCTTTTCCGAGAGCGCCCAAACTTAAGTGTCGTGACGTAAGCACAAATCCTTGGCTTATAGTTGTGTTATAGCTTGCTATGCTAGCCATGCTTTGTTACACTAGGTTGTGGTTATGCCTTAAGCTATCATACCGTTTCTCGCATTTCAAAAATTTTGAACCGAAATAACACCAAGTAAAAAGCAAGCTGCACTAAACGGACAGACATGACCTCTGATTGAACGGACCATGACCGACGGGAGACGCTGATTGGGCCACCGGCGACGGGCTCGAGGCGGTGCGCGGAGTACGCCGCCATGCGTTGTTTACTGTCACGGATGCCATTGGACGCGGTCAACCCTCGGGGCAGGAATGGGGAAGTGCCATGCGTGCGGGGTGACAGGGTCATACAGGCACGGGAGCGCGGAGCAGAGGCGATGCCAGGTACTCACAAATGGGAGGAGGAGAGGGAGGTCGGGTATGCACATTGATTGGCGAAGCGATGGAGGGCGACAAGGAGTTGTTGCGCTCACTGGGGAGCACGAAGCAAGCACCTGACTTCCTTGGAGACCTGGCACCGCCACTGACGACCGACTGGGTATATAACCCGTACAGGTGCTCGGGAGGTACGCAAGGCCGGTGGACAGTCAACCGACTCATCATGCTGAAATACGTGAGTGCATGGGTCACTGAGACCTGCTCCTGCTGTGATGCGACTGGGGTTTTGCGAACAGCGAATGTGGGCAGAGAATCTCTCTGGAAGGCCTTGGTCACTCGATTATCGTACTGCGTCTTTTGGTATGCACATCCATGCATTGTCATTGACGAGGTGCTGCGTCAAATAACCACGGATGTATGCCCGCCAACAGTTAAATCTGGATTGGGTCGCGGTCACCAGGTGGACTCGTGTTGTCGCAGTTCACGAGTGCCACGATAATATACATTAAGAAGTTTGCCTTGCCTGCAACATCCTAACTAGTGGGGCAACGACGTTACACACTTGAACTACTTTGCCGGAAATTCTGTGGTTCTACACGCCAGCCTTTTCAACACGTTCCGCGCTACCTGACATCTGACCTTTGCAGGCTGTCATCTGTGGCCTGGTGGCCTTGGCTTGCGCCCGACCCCAAGAAGAAGCACACAACGGCGCCATCAAGCCCCAAAGCCCGGCGAAGCCCGTGCCGGCGATGATTCCCGCGCCAGATGCCATGCCGGGGGCCGACCTTGACACACAGCCGACGACATTCTACAAGTCCTTCGGCTTCGGCGTGGGGCCCTTCTAGTAAGCCGCTATAAGGTTTAAGCCGCAATTAGGTTTGAGCCGCAATGAGCCGCGATTCTGGTAAGCTAGGGTCCGCAAGGAGTTGGACGTGTTGTGTAAAGCGTGGTTGCATGGTTGAGGAGGTGCGCATTGCGGCGTTGTAAGCGTATTTCAGGAAGCAGAGAAATCGATAGATATCGTGATTTTATATTATAACGAACTTAAATTCTCCAAAATAGTGTCAGCATCAAACTTTACCTCCATCCACTGCTACGGCTGCATTGCTTTCTCGTTTTTGCATTATGTCTTCCGTCAATTGTTTATGTGCATGCTGTCCAAATTATTTCGTGGCGCAGGCGACCGCATTTTTATGTAGTGAATTAAAGTGGATTAAGTAAGGGCAGTGTAGTGGATTTCGCCCGCTGAATGAATGCATGTGTGCCCGCAAATATTTTCCAGACCTCACCTGCTCAGCGATGGACTAACTCGTCATTTGACATGCATGCAAACCGGCCCATTCATTCTGTTTGTTGAGCGCCCCCAGCTTAGATTGGCGGGTTCAAAAGCCGTAGAACACTTATTTTGAACAACAGTTGCAAAAAATGCTCGATTTGTCACCTCCGAACATTTGAACCTCTTTGTCCATTGCGCAGCACGTTAAGTCTACTGATCGAATACCATACATTCGTTGCGATTATGCTACGGTGTGACCGATTTACGATCTGAATGAAATGGGAGGAGAACTCGAAATTTTGTGTGACCGTTCCACGAATTTTTTTTTCAGCAAACGCTTCCACATCGGAGGGCACCCCGGCTACGGGCACCATTACAACTACGGAAACATTTACGGCTACCCGCAGCAGCAGCCCTACTACGGCCATGTTCCTCAGTACGTCTGGTAGTGCATTATACCACACGTTTACCAACAGCGTCTTCTGGGTCCAGCCGCTACCACACTACCAGCCTAATGAACCCAGACGCACATACCCCGGGGGAGTTCCCGGAACAAGAGCCTCTATTGCGACAGTGATCCCGCCAGTGTTGCTTACGTCATTTGCATGATTTGGATCGATGCGTGTCTCGGGTCAAAATGAGTTCGCTGGACTCTGCTGCCTTCGATGCGCGGCACGCTTTGGAGCCCCTGCAACCGACAAGATGCAGCGGGGACGGGGACGTCAGGTCGGCCTACTCCGGCTTCAGCCATCTTGACGCATCCTTATCTGAGAGACGCGGTCTACATGAGTTACCTCTGCTGCAAAGTCAGCTCGGGTAGTGATCTCATGGTAGTGGGAAGCACGTGGTCCCGGGCTGTTTCGGCTGGCAATAAACGGGCGTGTCAGAGCCACGGCCTTTGCCGGAGCTGGGCTGTGAATGAATCTGGCAAAGACAAGGAGCGTTATGGAAGTGTGATGCACTGAACAAAGCTTGACATTTCAGTTGGCCATTCATGTTTGGTTATTTGCGTAGATCTTGTGCAAGTAGTCCTGAGCTTGACAATTCAGTTGGCCGTTTATGTTTGATTATTTGCGTAGGTTTTGTGCAATCAGTCCTAAGCTTGACACTTCAGTTGACCGTTTATGTTTGATTATTTGCGTAGAACTTGTGCAATCAGTCCTAAGCCCAATGGTATGTTGAAACCAGTCTGAAATCTCGCGTCTTTAGTCTTCAACGTAGCCCGCTTTTGTTTATCGTAACGTTCAGCTTGTTGACGGAGTGAAAGACCTAGATAAGACGCAAGATAGCGTAACAGTCATATACCTATAAATCTATGAGGCTTTATACTGCAGGCTTCATACCTATAAATCTATGAGGCTTTATACTGCAGGCTCACACGAATAGCGAAGAGGTATTGAGCTACCCAACACTTTGCACGCTGTGCACTTTTACTAACAGCTATAAATGTAAAAACAAACGTGCGTCAGCAGGTGTGTTTAGCTAGGCTGGTGCTAACCACCAGAAGTGCAGTGACGATCTAGCCATGAACAGCCTCTCAAGCCGGCTTTGTGTAGTTTTGCGTGGCGCGCCAGCAGTGCGCCTCGAATTTCACTACCCCATCCTAGTTTCCCTAGCCGGCGGTAAGCATTCGTGAAGGTTATTTCCACGCTATCGCTAGGGGGACAGAAAAAAAAACAATGTGGGAAGGGCATTCCAAGGGCATCCGCCGCCAAAAGCAATCCCTTGACGGTGCCATCACTCGGAGACGATAAAAATCATCGAACAGCTCCCTTTCAACGAATGAAATGGGTCTTGACCGAGGAATCTTCGCTGCTAGGCAACGTGGGGGTGCCGATAGTGTAGTGGTCAGCGCGTCTGCCTTCAAGGGAATGCTTCACGTTTGAAGATATCGAAGCAAGTTTGCGATGCGATGAAACAATCTCACTTACAGCCACACATAGACTTTTAAACGCAAAAGACTGCTCTAGATAACACATTTTACCCGTTTAGTAAATATGCTCCTTGATGCTTCACTGTTTGATTGCATCATCGCACCTTGCACAACACTGACTGAGAGCCAACTGACGGCCATTATATCTGGAAATGATGCTCACAAACGCTAGACATAAATTACTCCATATTCTATCATTTATTTTTCTGGGCCTTAATCGTCGCAAGGCTTATGGAGTGATAGAATTTCAGTGACGTTATTATGACGTAATAAATGGCAAGGTGACCTTGAAATGCTCTTCCTTTCTATAAGTTTTTACATGCTCGCGGGCGTATAGCTTAGAAACCAGAGGGGTTTTGTTAGGAGAAAGGGCAGGGCTGTAAACTGCACCGGATGGTCTTCAAAATAGCCATTTCAGTTCAAAGAACCATAGAGATATGGCACACGCCCTTTGCCCACTGCAATCTTAAGAGGCAAGCAATGCATGAGGCTTGCAGAATTCAAGCATAGCCCACTTACAGGTGCGCTGGCTAAGGCAGTACGCATCCAGGAACACGGGAATCCCAAGCAAACGGAAGCACATCGGGTCTGCATTTTATGTTGGGGGGCGTGTATGACCGCGACATTCGAGCTCGAGGAGTGTTGGGATATCGTGTCACCTCAATATCACGCAACACACAAATCAGTCACGTATAGCAAATATCAGGAAATAAAGACGTAAATTCGCAGAGCAGGGCGGTTGGAATCATTGTCCGGATCATAGCCTTGTCATACCAGACGAGATGTTCACTATTTATACTAATTACCTTGCTTCAAACATTCTGTAAACAGTCACCAATGTTTCTGACTCCGAGACGAAAGTCAGAGATAAAAAGGAGTGCTTCACATTTATATGGGGTTTTGAGATGAAATGGCCATCTTGAAAATCAGTCGGTGCAGTTCACAGTCCTGTCTTTCTTAAGACCTAACCCCCCCCCCCCCCCAGATTCTGACCCACACGCTCACGAAAATGTGCAGACTATTTCGAAGACTATTTCAAAGTCAATGAGGCATCCGAGACGCCATAATAACGTCATTCAAATCCTGCCACTCCATTGGCCATGCGGCGATCAAGGCCAAGAAACATGCAGTTGTCGAGTCGTTCATATTTGGTGCTCGTGAGCACGATTTCCAGACATGAAAGACGTCAATCGGCTATCAATTAATGCTGTGCAAGGTGCGGTCACAAAATCAAACAAGAACACATTGAGGAGGACAAGCATCATCCAACAATAACGCATCTTGTTGGACCAAAATGAGCCAGGTTAACGTAACAGAGCTTCAAAATACGCTCTCCCTTGCTTTGCGTCGGACAGCATAACCCGGTTAAACATAATCCTTGCCTGGCTTTAAGCCGGAAGTAAATATCCCCCTCGGAAGTGACTTAAGGTCCGTCGAGAAAAAAAATGAAGCCATGCATTGGCCCACCAAAAATTGAGGGCATGTTGGGATTGAGGAGTATGTTTACTTAACAGAGACATCGCGCTGTTAGAGCAATCTCTTCCACTTAAAAGCACACCAGTAGTTAAGCGAGCTTGTTTCACCACATCTTATGCTTGCTTCAATATTGTTAAATGTGAAGCATTCCCTTTAAGCACGTAGACCAAATACCTGTTATAACGGGCTTACGGACCGCACAGCAACGGTTTGAACAAGCGTGGAACTGTCCGCGTAAGACTGGTCTGAAGAACTACGACGTGTAACTGTCCGCGTAAGACTGGTCTGAAGAACTATGACGTGTAACTGTCCGCGTAAGACTGGTCTGAAGAACTATGACGTGTAACTGTCCGCGTAAGACTGGTCTGAAGAACTATGACGTGTAACTGTCCGCGTAAGACTGGTCTGAAGAACTACGACGCCGGCCAATCTTCCTCAAACCCAGTCAACAGATCACCGCGAGCAACGACGGTGAGCCATCCATCACGCGAACGGGAAATTACTGCACTCTAACGACGTTCCAGGTATTGCAATGCTTTTAACGAATAACGACCGATGTCTGTCAGCATGAGCTTCGCACAGCCGTTGACATTTGCTGTCTTGCAATTCTGAGCTTCATGCTGCTCGTAACAGCCGTAACTACGGCCATAAACATCGTCATAAGGCGATCGATCTGTTCAAATGAAATGACAAGCAGTGTGAAAGCAGACAAGACTAGCTTTGTCGTCGTCACGTGACAACAGCAACATATTTCATCAGCAGACAATTCATAGATTTTTTTAGAAAGCAGCCCATTCATAGAAACCCGCGCTACCCGAAGATCTGGTGCATCCCAAGTACATGCCCCAACACGCGCCCGGGTGGCTGGTTGAATACCATTCGCTCGGGTGGGGGTCATCCTTGACCCCCTGAGATCTCTAGAGCTAAGTTATCTAGAGGCGCCAAATTCACAGAGTGGATTTATATGTACATGACCTCACTTGTGTCAAAAATCGAGAGTCCTCGGTCATAACCATATGGTCAAATAGGGTCAAACATGGTCGAACTCCGAACTGGTTTCTTAGGTGCAAACATACCTTCATATGCAACCGCCGTGAAGCTAGATACCTGTTTTAAGCGTGAGGTCAATGAGGTCAGTGACCTTGTTTGACCTTGATGTGGTTAAGATGACGTATTAAAATACGTATGGCTTTGTATAACACTTCATTATTGCATTGCATTGCACCATTCCCTAGAAATGCCCTTCGCTGACAGCCACGGCTGGACTTTGAGCTGCCATAGATCGGCAGCCTCACAATGTACATCCATTTTTTTGCATCAAAAGATACGCTATTATATCCTCTACAGCCAATCAAAGTTAAGCGCAGCTACGCTGTGCCGTTCGGAAATCATTCTGAAAAACCTCCGGAGGGGAGGGGGGGCAGGTTGATCCCTCACCCGGGCGCGTGTTAGCCAGATAGCTATTTTTTCTTCAGAATGATCCAAAGTATGTGATCCACAGCTATTCCTCATTGTCGTATGCATATGCGTATCGTATCACAAATGTGTTGAGACATAAATGCAACACTACTTAATTTCGCCCTGCACGCGTTCCTATATCGTTTATAATTACCAACTAAGCGCAACTAAGTGCAGTGATTATGGAAAAACAAACCACCTTAACACTTCCCAATCTGGACTACGATTTCATCTCTGCCTATCGAGTTACGAAAAGTAATTGTAACATTTCCCCGAGCCACGTGATTGCAACATCACCGCGCCACTGACATCTATAACGGGGACATGGAAGCTGTATGAAAGGAATGGTCACAATCCCTCGCTCGCCATTTCACCAAATGAAATGAAACACATAGACATCTTTTTGAAGCTACTTGAAGTTACACGCGAAAGCATTGTTGTGAGTCACTAAAAAACGCACAAATGGCCTATTCAAATGTGCAGCATCTATGGGTATGTTTTAACACAGGAAGTAGTCATATTTCTATACAAACTGTCCGAATTATTCTAAATTGTCGCAGCAATTCGGAGCTCTTAACCGCATTATGGCATTTGCCGCTTACCGCTACCGCTTAAACGCTTAACAATATAAATGCAACTTGATGAGTGTCAAACAATATGATGCAGGGGAAGATGTCGGAGTTCCGGCAGAGAAACTCGCATCGCGTATCCTCGCATAACATATCATCTTATATACATATCCGTAGACATAAATCTGTATCAGCGCAGAACTTCGTAGGGGCAATTCTTCGCAATGGAACACTTGGCGTCCCAAAAACTTCATATACATATCACTACGCATTACATTTTGTCGAACGTACCTTTCTGTGCGTCGCATTTCTTTGTACACACGAGGCTTCGTGTGCACCAGTACTTCTCATCGCACTTCTTGCACACGCTTCGCTTCGTATCGTATTTATTTGTACACCCAGTTCTCCGCGCGACAGTACCTCGTATATGTGATTCTTTGTATAGCATTTCT